ATAGCTTCATGCTTGACCACTCGCCGCGGTTTGTACTTCTGTTCGGTACGTACGTTGGCAGTATGCATTATGCCGTAACACTATGACCACTTATGACTATAGGAAAGGCTTGAAGCGTCATACCTGCTAGTCATACAGTTTCTAGAAAATTTGCTTCCTGTGCTGTTTGCAGCTCGGCCAACTTCCTGCACGCCTAAAACAAACCATATTTACATTATTGAAAAACAGCATTATGAGCTACAGGATAGCCCGGAAGAAAACGCAGTATCAAAAGAAGAGTAAAGAAAAATAGTGTTTGCTAAGTAGTGGGTCATGCGTTTAGTTTACAAAATGAATGGTAGTACACTCGATTTATAATGTAGACCACAATGATACGACCTCTAAGGTATCGTGGCCTAAAAACCAATGATGATAAGATTCTATTGGTAAAAAGTGAGTGAATGTTGGTGTACACAAACTACATCTGAATTTAATGGAAATTCATGCTCCCAGAGTCTGGAGTTTAGTAGCATTTGAACCAACTATTGATTTAGTTAGCGAAATCGCCTACTAATAAATACGCCAAAAATGCTATTTTATCATCGATGACGAAAAATTTGATAAACTATACTTTATTTTCACTGGTTAAAACAGTCTATCTTTGATGTTCACTGGAGCTTAATGACCTTGAGTTGTTTGTTTCAACAGTGAACATTGGTTTACAATGAAATAAACTTATTTAGCCAATCAACAGTGGGTCTCATGATGGTGTCCGGAGCGAAGTCAGCTAGCCGCTTGTCAAATGTCTATGCAGTAACCTGTTGACGTTGATGAATGTATTTTGGTTCTTTGTATATACTAATGGGTTACTGCAAAATTATACTGGTGTTATTGACCGGGGTGGTATTCTTTTGCAATTGTTACGCGAATTCCCAGGTGTATGTATCCTCGGGGAATTTGACCAATAGGGTATGTTGTATGCTTATAAAAGTACTTTTCGAATTTTTAATATGGAGTACCGATTGGTTTATCCAGTAATCTAATATACGGGGAGCGATAATGATGCAAATCGAGAAGGGGATGGGATGTTCTTTTGAAAACTTGCATCATTTTTGTAATTTTAACTGATGCACTCTTATTTTCATCACTTATCAAGATTTAGTGGCACACCGGCTACTTTAATTTATTATATGTGTGTTTGGTAGCCTTTGGGCCTCTACAGGTTGCTGAAATATTGGTTGAAGCGGTTTACACACTACATCTTGTATATTAAGATTTTGGAAATGGTCTACCTATTGCTGACTAAGGAAAAGAAGGCGTCAAATTAGTGATTTTGCACTAGATTGACTAAGTTGCGAGGAGTGTTGTCAATCAACTGAGTGTTTATCACTTGCAGGCTGGAAATGGCACTGAAGTTATCTCTTTTGCTTCCATATTGGGGAACGAATTTTCCAAATTGGCACGTGATGAACTTGGCACAATGACAATGCAGGCGGCCTTTGATCGTTTGGAGTATGAGCCAAAGTCCGAAAACTCTGCCAAGTGGGACCTTGATTCGGTAGAGCAGAGTATTTATGGGTTTTCCCTACCAATTTATTGTTTAACATTGATAAATTATTGTTTGATTTTTAGCTCGTTGATCAGCTTTCCCTTCGCCTGCGTCATTATGGCCATCTGGTCTCCAATCCACAAGCCTTGGTGGTCCAACTCCACAGAGAGCACAATAGGTCTCCGATCTCACCCCGGTTTGACTGTTGTAATCTTTCCGAGCGTGACTTACGGTAAGCGAGTCTTCCGAACATTCGCATAACTGGGTCAAATTTGCAAACTAATTTCCTCACAATTACTGACAATCTTCAGCGAAGGTTTCATAGATGCAATATCGGGTTTCCAGATTCTTAGTTCAGCTGTTGTGTTTCCATTGAGACTCCATTGGATTTTGATCCAGGAAATGTTGTATTACACATTTATTTCTAGCATCATTGAAGTGCTTAAGCGTCTGCCATGGGCGGTAATTAACGTATTCTAATAAGTAAAAAAAGTGGAACGTATACAACTAACTACGCATTTACACTGTTTTCCTTCGTTTAGCTACGAGGCGCTGTATGGTGCACGCGTGTCTCGTCGGAAGTGCTGTGACCTCATTCCTTTTAACCTGCCTGTGGCGGCATTTAATCCGGGTCACAACCTGACGCAGCGCTTCCGTCGTCAACTGGAGTACTGGCCCAACGTGAAGTGGCTCTACTTCATCACTGCCGCCGGTCTCCATACCGAGTTTCCGGCGCACAACTTTCGTGCTGCCACCGTCACCTCAGCTCTGGTTGAATCACTTGCTGTTACTGCGGCTGCTGCTGCCACCGCTGCTGCAGCCGCAGCACCGTCGTCACCGCCACCGTCACCGTCGATGCAGTCACTGTTGCCGACGTTGCGAAACTGGGGGTGGCCGACGGTGGAAGTGAAGCAGAGGGCTGGGCGACATCTACCGCCCTCGCTGTTCACTGCGCTCTACGACTGTCGATCGGTACACCAGCTAAGGCATCGGTGAGAGCTTCCGCTGTTAGCGGTGAATAGCATGAACTGTGGTCTGTGAATGCGATGTCATTAGGCACAATTTGAATTGAAATATGGACCAAGGTTTTTAACGGAGGTATGACTCACGGGGACAATTTTTTAGCATTTGATATATCTGTTAACCTTATTTTTTCGATCTGTTGTTATTGCTGTGGTTTTGTCTGCCACAGGATGTCATTTTTGGATACATCAGTGTCTGATCGAGACTAAAACCATGTTGTTACGAATTTTTTAACATGAGGTGTGTCTATTAGAACACTTTTGATCCCCTATATGGGATACTGAACTCCTAAAAAGCAAATCTTGATAAGTACCGATTGGTGTAGTATGGTGCGGATTATCGGTAGCAGTAGTAGTAAAATGCACCGAATCCGATTTTTAACCATCGTTTTTCCACCGCTATCTGTTCCGCTTTAACCAGCGAAGTCTTCGTGCGTTCAGTGGTGGCACAACCGATATGGCTGGTGTTGGTGCTTGATCAAAGCGAGGCGAGCAAGACACGGATGCTGCTAGGTCAACGCATAGCTCGTCTACTGCTTGCGTCGCTCAGCGAAAAGGATCGAGTGGCGCTCGTTCTTGCCTCGGATACCGCCCGTGTCGCTACCGTTGGCGCAGCTACTTCCGACACCACCGCTATTCACCTACTCCCCGCTACCCATGAGACCAAACTGGTGTGTGTCACTGCGGTCGTGATTATTCTCCGCTTTTGCGACAATATTATTGACAGGTTTTTGCAGCATAGGATGACAAATTTTTACCACTGTTTGATTGTGGTTTAAGGTTACAAGGTAGGACGTATGCATATAAGAGGGGATCTCAATATTTTTTCATACTCTCTCCGTGGCTGCAATTACCTGTAACCTTTGAGGCTGGTGGTTGCAGATTTTGAGGCTTTGGATGGATATTAACAAATCGCAGACGGTTTTTAGCACTTGCTAGTGCTTTTCCGTTGCAATCATACCCGACAATCTGGGTTCATGCTTATTTAGCTCTTTTTGTTGTAGTCAGTCACATCCTCCAGATTTGATGGCGTGTTTATTCATCGCTTCTATTAAAAGTTTGTTCTGATTGGTCAGTTTATGACAGTCTGATTCCAACTTTAGTCGAACGCTCGCTGCGGAATCAATGAACCTTCATAAAGAAGCAAATTTTGTTCTTATTTCACCACTTTGCGAGTCTCAGAGACTTATTCCTGGTTACGATAGCGTTTGACGAGCACATTGAGGAATACTTAGTGTCTTCTAAAGAACCCTTTACCGTCTTTTCAGTCATGCTTTGCCCTCTTAACGTAACCTTTCGGCCTTCAACCCTCCAGAACACCCGGACATTGCCGAGTTTAGTGATACCTGCTATTGCATATTCCATCCAATTGATTGAATTATTACATTTAGTAACCTCTCAGTTGATTATACCTTGAACAATAAGGTTTACTTCGGGTTTTCAAAATATTTGTTTTAACGACTCGTCCTCGGACTCTGTTCAGGCACAGGACTCAAAGCAGCGGGGTATGTTGTAGCCGGTTGGGAATCTGTCTTAGTATCTCCTAAGCTATGCGCAAAAGTTCACTAGTGCGGTATTATCATTGCTTCTGCAGTTTCTCACTGAACACGTGTACAGTATGCGGGGCCCCGGTGTCGCCAAGACGAACCATACTCGAGCTCTTTTGGAGGCTTTTGGAATCCTTCATGATGCTGTTGAGGCTCAAAAACATGACATTCCAGAGTTGGCTGGACTTGGATTACCTACTGGTAAGACCTCTTTGAATGGAGGAACTGCAATGTTAATGTTAACTTCAAGAATCAAGAAACTCTTTTCAAAAAACTGCTCTTGATCACACACTTTAGCCATTTGAGCATCCACGGATATTTAGTAGTTATTCTAATTGGGTCATAGTGATTTCCCAAATTGTTAGTCTATCCATGCTTTCCGTTTTTTTCTTATCCAAATTTGTCATATTCAACTTTGGCGTTTTGGCTTTGCCATCAACTTATCCTATCCTACAATGGAATCTGTTTCCACATCAAACTAGATTCACATTATACTAATAGTTGGCCTTAATTTCGGCCAATGATTTCTAGAGTAGGGCTCTCAACATCCTACTATCTCTGTTACTTGTTTTCGACTTTTTATCCGCTTTTAATAAAGCTGCTTTCAGACCCATGAGAATATCCGAAACTACAGTCCAAATACAAGGTTATTGCGATGTAGGAGGCTGGGAGTATGAGTAGCGTGGTCATATTTACATCAAGGGCGGCGATTGTAATGATTTAGATTAGACTATTGTAAGAGCTCTATATTGGTATCTTATTCTTCTGGAGACAATCTGATGATCGCCTACATCAGCCGTGGCAGTCTGGACGACCTGCAGGAGCAGAACGCTACGTTGCAACAGGTGACAGAACAACAGGCACGTCTTAGCAATCGGGTGGTCATCAACACCTATATGCCTGTAGAGGAGAAAAGTGCCACTGTGCTCTTTGAGAAGACCTTCATGAGCGATCTTGCCAAGCGGTGAGCTTTCTTTTCCCTCTTCAGTCGCTTCCTTTAATGCTGTTGGGCAATGCGATGTCTAGACAACTTTGAATCGAAAGGCTTCGTTTCCCTTCCTTGCATTGTTTACGTTGCCACTTGTTTTGAAAATGAAGAATGGTAGACAAAAGAATTTGTTACAGGCGTTGGAGCAGTTAAAAACTATCTGCCGTTTGACCAATAGGTGCGTTTATCCGAAGCGTGATTCTAAAGCGCTAAGAGGCTCTATACGCATCGTGTCTGTTTCGGTCCTCATCATGTACACGCGTGTGTCCTAGGCGCCTGATTCCGGAAAGAAGGGTGTGAGAGAGACTGGGAGTGGTGAATCATGCGCTAACTGAATTTCGGCCTCTGATGCCTGATACAAAAAATCGCGTCGGCGCACATGCGTCCGAGTTGCGCACCCTCGTTGTCATCTTTTTTTACAAAGCACCAGCGTCTGATTTACTCTACTATTGTAAGGCGCACCAGTCTGGAAATAATCTTTTTTGCTAACGAACAAGCGTAGTAGGGGACTGGTAGAGTAGCGATTAATTCCATACCATTGCTGCGGAAGCCGAATTGGAGGAGGTCACAAGCCTCCTTAATCAAATTGCTTAGGCGAGGTATTTTGTAATCAATCTACGCTCTTTTAGTCAACATTTGAGCCGTCAATCGTGTCGGATCGTCATGGCATACCGACTTAATTGCAAATTAACGAGGGTATTCATGAAGTTTAAAAGAGGACGAATATGACACACGATCAAAATCGTGGCACTTAATTTAGTTATCTCGAATCGTCATTTGCCTTGCTTTCGTTACTAATTCAGAGGTGCCAAAAATTAAAAAATATAATTCCCTCACCACCCTAGCTATCAAGATTTCCTACAAATGCTACTAATAAAATTGCGAGTAGAGTAATCCGTTTTCTGTTTCAGATGGAATGCACACTCAAATCCGGAGGAGTATCGATCTTCGGATGTGCGTCCGGGACATTTCTACACAATCAACCGTACTGCCGACCTGGCAGAAACGGTGGGTCGCTTCTACGAAGTCTGGCTGAAACGAAGTGGGCAGGAGGCCTCAGAAAGGGACGAACGCACTCCAAACACCACCACTACCACTACTGTTCCCTCATCGAAGCTTTACTTTTCCCTCCCTTACAAGGATTTGGAGGGCAAAGGACTTGTTATGAGCATCAGTCAGGCCTTCTATGATGGTGTGAGTAGAGATTCTCTTTGGGAGGATGCTCAATGTGACCGACTCATCGATGCCACTATGTACCGGATTATACCAATCAATCACGGCTACTGGATTTTGAACTCTTCATCGCTTATCTTTAATACTTTCACTAGAAACACTTTAAGAATATTTATTTAGATCTCCTATTAATCCTCCCTACTCCCTCTTACCATTTGATAGGACACGCTTCTTGGTATCATGGGTGTGGATCTTCACGTGGCAGACCTCCTGGATCAGATTATTTACTATGGCGGGACTCCTGCCTCCAACTTTGTTTTTCTCCTTGACGCCTCCTCTAGTCTGAGTGTCTATCATCCGGGAGGGCTTCGGGACCTCCTTACCACGCCCCCTACTGCTACCTCCGTCTCTTCCGCTGCACGATCTCGACGATCTTCTGTATCTGCCTCCAGAGAGGAAGCCTTCCAGCGTTCTTCCACCTTTCAGGAACCTCTCCTTCATGTTGATGTTCGATATCTGGAGCGGACGCCCGGATTTGAGAGTCTCATTCTGCCGCGCATTCTACGTGGGGAGGTCAATGGGACTGTGGACTTCCTCGTGGAGATTGTGAGTTATTGCTATTGTAACTTGACATTACCGTCAAAGCTATATGTAATCTGGACTGTAAGTTAAAGCGACTTCTTGTTGATTGCATCCATGTTGTCAAAAGAATACTCACTAAAGGAAACAATTAAATTTTGTCCTTTTATTAGGTGATCTAATAACCGAGAGAGATCTTTTTATCAGTGGACAAGAAGGAAGGTGGTTCTAACGCATTTAAGAGCTTATATCTCGCTATTTAAATAAACCGAAGACCCTTCTCTCCCCTTAGGATTCTGAGTCCTTCGCAAGAATCGAGACCACAGGAGTGTGGTCGGAGCGGGTTGGGAGTTTGCTTTCCTCCTCCATCCCATCTCCTCGCCTCAACGGTGACCGCATGAAAGAAGTCAAGATTACGTATCGGTGGCGTCGCATCACTGACCCTGACACACAATTTGTTCTCGTGATGCGATCCATGCAACAAGTGAATGTTCCACCACCTCGTCAGCTGGTTGAAATCAGTAAGTTTTACTTATGACTGGTCTGTCGCTTTACTGACTGGTGAACTCATGTTAGGTAAATTGCTGGATGGTGAAGTATCTTAGCATTTCAGAAGATTATGAATAAGGCGTTACTGAAATGATATTTCGCTTGTAAATCCCTTTAATCATACAGTTTCACTCTCTGTTGGAAGTTAGTCGGCTCATTCACCGACATCCTTGTAAATTTTTTCTTCAGCCTAAGTCAGGCGCACTAAATGGTAAGCAATTTATTCACTTTATTTTTCGGTGGCTCGAATATTGTAGCTACAACTTTGTCTTTCCAATTACACAGCTCCGCCTTTCGATTCGTGGTACCATCGGCTGGATCTATTCAAACGCGACCAGGCCTGTCTCTACCTTCGACAACTTGCTACATTCAGTAAGTCTCCATACCTTCTCTGTTCAGTAACACGCACGTCCTAGAGGAAAATCAGCCACTACATACCCTGAATATTTTATTATTCCGACATGACACCATTTCTTATTAATTATTATGATCAATTTAACTGCATTCTTCATGGGTGATTCGTGGACCTATACAAGCCTTAAAAGGCTGTCTAGACATCCCTAATATGCCTATTTGCCTAACAGCGACTGTCAGTTTTGCTAATGAGAAGCCGTAGAGAGAGCCCAAATAATATATGATAGAAAACACATTTGCTCGTACACAACTGCTACCACTTTTTTTCTTATTTCAAAGGCTCGACCACTGTGTATCTGCCGCCACGCACCTTCATGCGTCCCTTCGAGCATCTAGTTTCGTATTCAGTATCGTCAGACGCTGGGGGAAGGACTGAGAGGAGAGGTGAAACTGCGGAGGAAGTGCGACACCTCGTCGCCTACCTCACTGATCAGACCGCTCTCATTTCTAACCCCGGCCTCCGCGTTTCTCCCTCCACTGGCACCTACGCCACCGCCTCCGCACCTGACGCTCGCACTGCTGTCGCTGTTGTGGAACGAATAGGGAAATTCTGGCGCCAGCGCGGTGCTGCTGTCAGTGGGATTAGCACTTTTGGCAAACACATCATTCGACGGTACGTAAGTGTTCTATGACGTTTTTTGTGGAGTAGTTAATGTTACCCTCTTTGGAGGAGCTCATGTTATTGTTATTAGGCTTATTTTGTTTTAGTTATTTCCACATTATTTTGAAAGGTGGTGGTTTCTGCTTCAATGGCGAGACGATCACCCCTCTTACAAAGAAGTAACACGATTTTTACAGCAACTTTTACTTGCTGACAGCTTCTACGTTTTCAGCCTAGCGAACATAAATAAATTATTCATTCGATAGGCTTGTTTACTTTTCTGGTGCTCAGCCAAGCTCCGATATTTTCTTCTGTGTCCTCTTTTTTTATGAGTTCCTACGGTTTCAACTCCCAATAGAACGATAAACTCTGCTAAATATCGTATAAACAACCTTTCATAACTCTGGTATATGCAGAAAATAGGGTGATTTTATGTGGAAAAGAGTCTCTTCTGCCATGAGGTGATTTCGTTGACATCCTCCCATCAACAAACAGGTACGTTTCCACGGATACGGGTGTGATGCTGATGTACCCGGGCACTTTAATGCCACAGAGCTTCGATGCCACCACGCGGCCCTGGTACCTGCGAGCCGTAGAGAATGCTGGTCGTATTGTCTTCACCGAGCCCTATTTGGACCATGGCGGTGCTGGACACATTGTCACCATTGCCTTCGCTATCTTCGAGGGCAAGTAGGTTTCAGCCCTCCCCTCTTTTTTTGTCTTTCGATCTTGAAAGGTGAAGTTAAACATGAATGGAGCAGTGAAGGTGGATAAGCTGGAGGTAGCCATCAGTAGAAAGAGAGTCATATCTGAATCTACAATGCAAATAATTTACCTGTTTTTGATCCAAATTAGTTGCTTGGGTTCTCGTTTGCTTCCCGGTTACTATCGTTCGTGATGTTACTGGCCGTAGTTGTCTGTGAACAACTTTGTTTAGGGAGTTGGAAAAGTCTGAAGTACAGGTAACGCGTTCAGTGCATAGCATAATCAATGGAAAAATTTTGGCCTTGTAGAATAAAATTCGTCCTTATTTAAAGTAAAAATTGATATGGTATACTTTGTATATACGACTTTGACACTTCGACAGTCAGTCTCACTAACTATGGAATCAAGCTGATGGCGAGGTGTGAACCCCCTGCTCAAGTGATGGAATCCAGTTTTGGATGCTACACAGTAGCTCTCACAAAATAGGACTTTTTAAAGCACATTTGTTTTCAATTTATTCAGTCGAAGTGGCATTCATAGCCCCCGTACCGATCGTGTACAATCTGTAATGGCAATGGATGTTCCGTACCGTCTCTTTAACCACCTCCTCTCCACATGGCTTCCCAGTCACTGCAACTTTGAACCACCCTACCTTCGCCACAAATCAACATTAAAGGAGAAGGCAAAACTCAAGAAGTCTGGGATGAAGTGGAAGGAAGCCGCCTCCAAGGCCTCCCGTATTCCACTCTCTCCAAACAGTAGCCCTCAGAAGGAGGTCTCTCGGGCTTTTTTGGACTTTCTTCGTGACTATGGAGTGCGAGTGGAGCCTTCAGCAGTAGCTACGGAGGGGGTAGAATCGGAAGTGGAAGAAGAGAATGAGGTAGAGACAGAGGAGGTAAATGAATTGGATACTGTAGGGGAAAAGACCTCCACTAAATGTCTCCTTATGAATGACCGAGGCTACCTCATTGCACATCCTGGTTACGCCGAGCCCCTACAAATCAACCGAGCGCTTGAAAGCAGCCATATCAGCCATAGGTGAGTGGTAGCTTATTTAATTTTGATATGTCCACTTCAAATCCATCGATTTATCCATGTGCGATTTGTCAGAGAACCCTCAGTAGCCGCGGATCTGTTGAATCATGGGGAATTCGTCCACAAAGTGGCCTGCGTTTCTCATTCGCAGCGTGCTCTCGAACGCTACTATGTGTACAACACTTCGTATGAAAGCGTGGTAACCAACTCTGCTCCTGGAGACCACTGTACTCGCTATCGAGTGAGTTTAAACTAGTTTCTTTCCACTGCACTTTGTTAGTTTCAATCATCTTTCTGTATTTTGTCATTTGAGCTCGACTTGATATTGACAGCCTGAAGTCGGTATTTTCTCCCCAGTTTGCTCTCGTTCCCGGCACTAATCTATTCTTGGGGCTGGTACACGAGGCACCGCAAACGCATCAGCGGATCCGACGCAGCGACGAAGTGACCACCACCAGCGGCAGCGTCTCTTGCAGTCATCGCGCCGCCTTCTGTGCCTGCTCCACCAAGGACCGCCGTTGTCTCAACTGCGGCCGCTTGGAGCCTCTCGAGTGCGAGTGTCCCTGTCAATGCCCCCTCAGTACATTCACTGGTCCCCCCTTCATCAGCGCTTCCACCTCCGCCGCCATCTCTCCTCTTGACAATCACCCCGCTTGCCTTGCGCTCTCGGTGAGACGTAGTGCTATCGATAATTATGCCTTGTGGTCCAGGCGCTGGTTTTTATAGATTGTGTAGAATCCAGCTATTCATTCCTGCTAGTTGTAGTATTACCGATTTCTACAACTCGGATTCGTGCTCGGATCCTCTTTTCATAACTTTCACCCATCTAAATTTACATCCATACCATTTGAATGTGAATAGAGTTAGTCCTTGTGAACAGTTCCTCTAAGTATCTGTTCTTTAAATTTTCATTAATTTGGCTAAAGTGGGCCACAAATTTGTTTCGGGCCGCTCTGATTTAAACAGAAATACTCTGGATCCCCGTTTTCAGTATCAAATAGGTGTATTTGAGTATGAATTTTTTGCTGAACCGAATCACTAGACGTGTATTCCAAAATAGATTATGCCCTTAAGGGACATGAGTTCAAGCTTTGGTTTAATCTGCTTTCATTTTCACCCTAAAATTATGGCGCAGGAAGCAGATGCAAATTGAACTTCCCGCATTAATGGCTGAGCATAATGGGAAATCCATTAATGTTAGATATCAATGATTTTATAGGCCTGATCTGAGATCCTTTGCTTACCACGTAGCTTGACGTGCCTCTTCTGCCGACAACCAAAGCGGCTGCAGCTGCATCATGGAAGGCGCTAGCGAGACTTCCCGATGCGCCTCCGCTTTGTCAACCTTCGAACTCCCTCTCCATCCGCGTCCCTGTCGCCTCACTACATGAGTGGCTCAGCATCCTTCTGCCTTCCCCCGCCTCCTCTGCCAATGTCTCCGGTATTGTCGCTGATGGTGGTCCACTTGTGCCTGCTCTTGGTCCCACTGACTGCGCTGCCCTCAATCGCCGCGCCACTGAGTGTACCGCCAGCATCGGCTGTGAATTTTGTCTTCTCGGTGCAGATGCGGAGCCCTTGTCCAGTGGTGGTTTCTGCGCTCCCATGGGCGTCTGTTTTGGCGGTGTTGTTGGCAGTGCCTCACCCTATAGTTCTCCCATCTCTTCCTCATCCACTACCACTTTCGCTACCAGCAATGGTGCTTGTGAGTAATTCGCCGAACAGGATATTTTTTACCATTCGTGATGTGTTAACTCTTATTTTGTAGCTCCTGTTGGTTTTCTGGAGGATAGATGGCCTCTCGTACCACCTCTCCCACCGCCTCCGCTACCACCGCCACCACTACAGCTACCTCCACTTGGGGCACAGCTTGCTCCTCTAAATGGCCACTACCACTACCGGAATCTCCTCCTCCCGAGGAGTGACTCGCATGCAACAGCAGCGGCGCATTTCTATCACTACTACTATTACTATCACTATTATCACCAACAACGACAGCACCAACTACTGCAGCATCGAGGAGATGATGATTTCTACGCCTCTCCGTATGTGTTAGCGAGACATTACATGGGTGGGGGTGGACGGAGTGAGGCAGAGTTGGGAGTGAGCACGGGACTAATGGCGTGGACAAACTCCCCAGTCGGACCGGTAGCTGGAGCCGTTTTGGCGGTATTTACCGTCCTTCTCCTCGGTGTCTATTGTCTTCGCCATCAAGCTGCAAACCGAGTGCGTCAAAGTGCGACAGCAACAGCTGTGGGAAACGTTGGCGAGTGCGCCTCTACTGGCCTTCTTGTTGGTAGTGGGGGAGGAGAAGCAACAGAGGGTGATGCCTCGAACCAGTCTGCATGTAGTCGAAATCACTCTGTAAGTTGGCTTTGAGTAATGTGACCGATCACTGATGTACTGACTTTTTATTTATATATTTCAGGGTGAAAAGGTGTGCTGCTGTGAACGGCCGCCAGAAAGCGATACCGACAAAGATAAACCGCCGCCAACGGCAGGCGCAGTGGCTCTCCTAGTTAAAGCTACCAGCGCATCCTCAGCGGCCAGCGGAGCGGGTGATCATAGCATTTCTGCATGCGGGGGCAGCAACGCTGGTACCGATACCGAGTCGGAGCGTGGTCCACCGCGTTGCTGCGCCTCTCCACGATCCCTTTTTGCTCCCTCCGCTGCAGCAATTATAATTGAGGGTGTAGGCGTATTTGTAAAGAGCAACGCTTTTTCAAATGAAGAGCTGGCACAGGTACCGGAAGAGCCGAAATCACTACCACTGGCTGAATTTGTCACTGATCCGACTGCAGTCAGTCCCTATCGGGTCACCACTGACGTGTCTACTGGCGATGCTGTTACTGTTGGCACCACAGCTGACGCCTCTACTCCTGCTGACGATCAAGTCACTACTGTTTCATCTGCTGCCACAACGACTGATCATGGCTACGTGAGCAATGATCGACCGAGTTCTAGTTATGCGGAGTCCTCAGTAAGCTTCTATTCTTCATCATTAATCAAGACTAGGGGAAGTTGGGTGACTTTAATAAAAATTTTGACTTAAAAATACGTGGATCTTAGTGACCTGAGGCAACTCAAATAGTTGTGTTTGACTGTCCCACTCCTACCACTTCTGATCCAAACGACGTGAACGAAACTGTATTGTGTATTTAGTGAAGATATTTGGCCTCAAAATTGTTCTAGTTATGCGTTCCATCCTAGGGAAGAGGGAATCAGCTCCACTGAATCACCATTCCGTGACATTTTGTTAACCAAAAAGCCTTGAGAGGCCTTAAATTGATGTGGATCATCTTCATTCTTCCTGCCTTGAAAGTAAAAGAGACTTTAGCGCCAGCAATTTCTGGCGCTTAAGCCGTCATCCTATCAGAAATTCCGCCACTGAATTTGTCTCCTGGTAATTGGCTGAATTGTTGGCTCCCAACAGCCTCAGACATTGAAACTGTGCTTTGCAAGTAGAGAAATCAAACATTTTACTCACCGTTGATGCGAATGGTCCTGTACTGGAGTTGAATGTTTACTTCCCTCTCACCTTTCAGTCGTTGGCCGATTCCGTAGT